ATATCAGATGCTTTTCAATAGCTGAAAAAATGAGGATGGGTGTCAACTTCCAAGAGAAAAGAAAAGAACCTTCCGCGTTTACTTTTTGTCTGGCAATCGAGAGAATGAAAGGTTTTCTTGTGAAAATAACGCTTAAAAATCGCCAGACGGTAATCACAGTTCGAAATCGAGTTTTCCGGCGAAACATTCTGTGGACATTTCGAATAGGAGGCAGGCATTAAAACCACTTATATTCTCATCAGCTAACTAGTCACATTCATCCCTCAAAATGCCAGACAAAAAAAAATGACTCCACTAAACAGGCCCTATCTCAGAGTCTATTAGTTCAGTTTCAGAATAGTACCTACATTAAAATACAAGTTTCATAACATGTCATTTTATCGCACGAGCCCTATATTAGAAAACGAGCCGGAGGCGAGTTTTCTAAAGGGCGTGTGCGATAAAATGTCTTATGAAACGAATATTTTATAATATTTTTTTCTATTTTGGTATTGTTTAATTAAAAAAAAACAAATTTTTCTTGGAAATTTTATTCTCATATTTCCTGATTTCATATGTTTAGGTTGGTAACAACTACATGCCAATTATAGAAATCTTCTATTATAAAATCGCGAATGACAGTTCGATGGCCATCAGTCAGCCAGTGTAACCAACCTCCGATAAGTTAAAAAGGAGTGTCACAAAGAGCTTCTTTCGAAACTACTTTCAGTGTCGAAAAGACTTCGATATGACACCAAAATAGAAAAAAGTAAATTTTGTTGCAGCAATGTTTTATCGTATCGGCAAACTAAACTGCTTCAAACTAGTCTACGAGGATGATCTCAAAATCCTCCATTGACTCTTCGTAGACTGTCTCTTCTCTGCCCTTGATAGGTAGAAGAAAATTGACATATCATCAATACATCACAGGTTCAAACTATGACTTGTTACACATTTCTTGAATATCAGGGAATGAAAAAAGCAGATGTTCTCCACTAGACTTAAAAACGCAAAAATCAATTTCCAAATAAAACAAAAAAATTAATAAATCCAGCAGCTCTTTGGTTGATATCACCAGAGAGTAGGACCCCCACAGTATTATTTAATTACTTCGCCGGACATAACGTGGGGGTCCCGATTTCGCATACATACCACCCCCGTTTGGAGGTACCTCATTCCCAGAACGTTTGGTGTGTATATCTGGGTCCCATTCGGTTGATAAAAACGCGCGTATTTGGGTTATTATATTATGTAAGGACGGAGCAGCGTGCGTAAAATAAAAGGGTTTTTTCACTGGACGATATTAAAACTGTATGTTTCGGGGGTGGCCCGGGCGGCAAATTAACATTTAAGGGGGTGGGTAAGTGGCCGTAGGGTGAAAATATATAAGGGGTGCTTAATAAATTCAATTATTTTTTTTTCAGTTTTATTTTGCAAATTTGTGCCTTCACTCTTACAGATTGATAATCTACTGGGACTACTGGGTGGTCAGAATCAAAAAGTTTCCTCATAAGTAAGTATGCAATAAAAACAACTCTAGAGATATGATACTTCTCTTATGATAACATCTCTCAAAATTAGAAGGTCAAAATAATGGTCTTTCTCAAAATCTTAAATGAAAATTGGATTGGGACTAAGTCTCAGATTAAATACTAAAATTCCTTGGCAATGTGGTTATCCTTTCCATGAGCAAGATTTTTTGGAGTGAAAAATTCATTGATTTACTTAATATACAATATGTTGTGTGTAATTCATCTCCATTTTTAGCACTAACCCAATTAACAGCAAAAATATATCGCAAATGTCAATTAGATAGATATTAATACAAATACACCATTGGGTGGGTTAGGGCAAACGTTTTTCCCCCCTCAATGCTAATCACAGTAATGGATGACGATTCTGCCGATTTTACTTTTTTTTTTTTTTATTTAGGAAAAAAAATGCAAATTATTAATTCGCGTTGCCTCTTTTAGCGGATCCGGGGATCGACAGAGAGTGGGCCCGCGCCGTTATTTAATTACTGTGACGGTGGGGGCGCGATTTTGTGCAAACTTGCCTCATCCTCTTCGCCAGTAGAGGAACTTGAATTTATGAGGGATTTTTGATAGAAATTATCAATCGAGTGCAGTTAATTAAATGATTTATTTTTAATTTTGAATATGGAAAAGTTGAATTTCTTTTGGGTGGTGGATTACTGAACACTTATGAATGCCCTTCTGTCAATCAACAAATCCAAACCCCTTATTTTTCTCTTAAATTGAATCAGAGATGCAAAACTGAAGCTTAATAATCAAACTTTGTGTGTGAGTCTGGCTGAAATTTTTCGGATCTTTAATTTTTCACTTGCCAGACGTATTATCCATACTCGCAGATTAGTTGGACTATTTTTTTACGTAACTTCAGTATACTTCTCATTAGTAGACCTATTTTTATCACTGGAAAAAAAAGGGCCGTTCATTCGTAAGCTCTAACGCATTTTGCGACTCAACCCATCAGAAAACCCCCCCTAAAAATATATGAATTTTGCTTAGAATTACTAACTCTACAATTCTATCCATGTTTTCTGACTGGGAAAATAAGTGCCGAAAATCGTCATTGCCTCCTAGTCTATATAAAAAAGGGCATTCAGGAAATTGAGAAATTGATAAATGTACACCAAATTGCATAACTTGATTTTATTTCTGGAACTAGAGGTCCACATGAGCTGAAATTTTCAGGGATTGTAGTCCTCTACTGAAATAAGAATTGCTGGTTCAGCTTTCTATCTATAACAGAAAAAAAGTTATGACTTTCCAAAGTTTTCAAAAATACAAATCATTAGTAAATGATGAATTTTCAATTTTTTTCATGTTGAGATTTTGTGTCCAAATGATCATTTGGGACCCCTCAAACTTTATACACTGAATAATTCTGAGATTTGAATCCCAAATCTACGAAAAAAGGCACTCAGAAAAATTGAACAATGATAGATTTACCCCAAATTGCTTAACGCGATTTTATTCCTGAAACTATATGTCCAAATGTCCTGAAATTTTCAGAGATTGTAGTTCCCTACTAGTATAGGAATCGCTGAAAATTTCAGCTTTCTTTCTATAATAGAAAAAAAGTTATGATTTTTCAAAGGGAGAGTGGGGGTATTGTGCGAATCGGGTAATTGTGCGCATCAAACTATTTCATATTTCGCGGGCTTTTTTAAGGTCCTCCGACCAGTGCTGCACTCTGCCTTTTCTACTCTGGATTACTGACGCCATTACTCATATCAGTTGTATGCAATGACGTTGTATGTACACACGTTTGCACCACTATTAGCACTGTTTATGTGAAATATTCTTTGGTGAAATCGAGCCAGTTTTTGTAATTTTTTGATATTTGAAAATAAGACGGACAAACGGGGTAATGATGCGCACCAAAGCGCACGATTCCCCCACATGATCTAATTTATTTATTTTTTTTTTTAGATGCCGAGACGTTAACAAGAAAAGCCGCAATTCCCTCATATACGGCAGAAAATTTACAGAACGCGTGATTTCCGATAAGAAATGATAGTAGAAAAATAACGGAAGCGGGGGGCCTTCAATATTCCTGAATCAACACACAAAAATGTCAGAAAATGAGCCTAATCTACCTCGTTTGGGTTGCAAGCCTGTGTTTTCAGAACAAGCTATTTTATGGCCTAGCACCCAGGTGTCTTAGACGATTAGCTTTCAGGTATGCTGAGCAATATAACATCGCCCATAAATTTACCAAGGAAAAGGGATTAGCTGGGAAAGACTGGCTTTATGGATTTTTGAGATCACCTAATATAAAGCAGAAGGAACCAGCTTGAATAGGATTGCATCTTTTAATAAGAAATCAACCAAATTGTTTTTTCAAATCTTCAAATCCCCATGGAAAGGTTTAAATTTGAACTCAAGAGTGACTACAACACAAACGAAACAGGCATCATCATGGTGCAGAGCAAGTGCCCCAAAGTTTATGGCAGTAAGGGATCTGAAAAATTAGGAGCTGCAATTTCCGGAGAAAGAGGAAGAACAATAACAGGTGTATTTTCAATTAATGCATTCCTCCCATGATGATTCATCCTAGGAAAAGATCCCAGAACCCTAGAGAAAAATGAATCAATTAGGACGTTATAAGAATTCGGAACTTGCTTGTTCAGTGGCTGCACTTTCAGAGGCATGTTAAGCCTACTGTTACTGATCCTGTCCTTCTGGTCCTGGATAATAATTCCAGCCACATCTCAATTGCAGCTTAAAATTTCTGCAAAGAAAATTATATACATATGGTCTCGCTTCCTCCACACACATCTGATCACCTTCAGCCTCTGGATCTGACATTTCTCAGTCCACTTAAAAATGCACTATTCAGGGAATATGATCTTTATTTGTCAAGTACCGGAGATCAAAAGATTACTGAATACGATGTAGCCGAACTTTTAAATAAAGCTTTTATGAAAGTGGCTTTAATGAAAAAAGCAGTTTTGGGGTTTCGAACATCTGGGATAGTTCTATTGGATCCCAATAAATTTAGCGATGCCGATTTTGAACCTAGCACCATGTTGGAAAACTTACAGTAGAAGCAACACCTGAACTTGGAACTGAATCCAACCAAGATGGCGCAGCCACTCTGCTAGATAATCACCCAGATTTACGACATCGAGGAGATCAGAGCCCTCGGCCAAGTACATCTGAAGAAAATTCTTTTTTTCCTATGGCTCCAATACCAAAAACAAAAATTAACCAGGCAACGAAAAGAAAATCTAGAGACCAACATAAATCGGAAATTCTTACGAGCACTCCCCTCAAAACAAAACTATAGAAGTTGAAGAGAAAAAAAGCAATTAGGACCAAAGATAAACTGAAAGATAAAAATATGGGTAAAGGAGTTATTCGTAAATGTTTTGGTAATGAATTATCAATTCCCTCGACATCAAAGAAATTCAAAGGCAAAGAAAATGTTCACAATGAATCATGAAATGTCTCGACTTCAAAAAAATTCGAAAGCAAACAAAATTTTAACAGAGAATTATCAATTCCTTCAACTCCAAAGAAATTCAATATCAAACAAAAGAGATCACCAACGCCTGAATCATGTAAACCATCAGAAGAGGATGTGTCCGATATTCGTGACGACGATGAGCTGGATGACATCGAAGATGATGTTGCGCTGAGCTTCATACCGCCTTCTTCAAATCAGCCAGAGAAATCAAACAAAGTTTTGTGGTATTCGCGGGGAATTTGGCAAACTACGAGAATTATGGTTATTGTGTTATTAATTAGAATTATTATCAGATGTCCTCTGTTCAATATGGAATCATGCAGAGTGTACTGACTCAAATACCCCGAAAAATTAACAAGAGCTTGGTGGTAGCCTCGAAACAATTTATATGCGACGTTGCAATTTTTGGAATTTTCATGTTGGGACTGGAATCAGCGCCACGGCACGCCACCACAGTTTTGATTATTATTATCCCTGCCTTTTGAGTTGACAGAGAATATAATAACCATAGATAATAACCTTTTATAATTTGATTGTACGGCATATGATTGAATAAATTGAAAATTGAATAAAATTGAAACTAAAAATTTTGTATTTTGAAGGAGTATAAATAAATATATAAATAATTTTTTTCTACGAGCAAGCACTGCCTTTTGGTTGGAGTGGAACTGGAAAGTCGTTTGTTCTCCCACAGGGCGGAAAATTTTTTTCATATCAAATTCGTGTGCGGGAAATACCGTTCCTCGCAAGTGTTAGGAACACAATTTTTCCCAAGGGCCTGCAGAAAGATTACTCTTTAGTCTTATTTGTGCATGCTAAAAGTTTTTTTTTCAGCATATTCGTAGGAAAAAAACGGATCATCTTTGCTTCAGGTGTCCAGAAAATGGCAGAGATTATCCTGTTTTTAATCCCTAGTAGGAATGCTCATTGAACTGAAAGCTGAAAGTATCTGCCAACCGCCATGTCAGCCGCAGACCTCAACTCTTGGAGTGAAAGGCATTATTCAAGTTCAAAGCACTATGGTATAGGTCAAAAAAACGAATTCCTAAACGTGAAGATCTTGTTTAAATCACCTTTTCTACATTTAAAATCGACGAAAAATTCAAATAACGAGCATAACCTGAATCGCAAGCCTTCCATCGAGGTCTGCGGGTGACGTCATCACTATTAAGCTGATGTGGTGACGTCACTCGCAGACCTTGTCTACTCAAGAATTGGTGAACGTACGCCTTATTAGGATAAGCAATCCTGTTCACGATTCTTGAGTTTTGATAATAATTGTTGCATAAAAATGTCGAAAATTCCAACAAAACCCAAATCTTTCATTGCACAAACAAATTAGCATCTGCAAAAAACTTTTTTTCTGACCATTGAAAAATAAACAACTTTCGTCAAAAATCATTTTCTGCAACTTGAAAACATTACCTACATATTTTAAAAACTGCTGTTTTTGTCACTAGTTATTCGTTAAACAATAAACATTGTCCAAACCTGTTAGAAAAATCTAACCGAAACAAAATAAAATACTTTGACGTCAATTTGGCAACGCAGCACTTCTTGCCTTAACCTTTTAGAATTGTTTTGGGGCTCCCACCAAGCTCTTGTTTAAAATTATAAGTGTGACCTATGCTCAAATTAGGAATTATTATAATGGATTTTGTTTAGGTTTTACAACTTTAATAAATGTTTTTGCTCGTGTTGATTTTATTTAATAATACTTTACATGCGCACCATTCCCCAACCTGTGCGCATAATTGCGTGCGCAAGAGCATTCATATACTTTTAGCAATATTCTGATTCAAATACTTAATTTTCTCCCTATATTGATTTACGTGGCACGTGCTAAAAGTTAACTAAACAGCACTCCCATAACCGTATTATATTACATTCAATGGTATTATTATTTCTAAAACGAGTTACGTTTAAATGCGCACAATTCTCCCACCCTCCCTCACTGAAATGATGAAATTTCAATTTTTTTTATGTAGAGATTTTGTGTCTTAAATGATCATTCGGGACCCCCCAAACTCCATACACTGAATTATTCTGAGATTTGAAGCCAAAATCTATGAGGAAAGGTACTCAGAAAAATTGGAAAATGATAAATTCACCCCAAATTGCTTAACGCGATTATATTTCTGAAACTATAAGTCCAAATGAGCTGAAATTTTCAGGGATTGTGGTCCTCTACTGGGACAAGAATTGCCGAAAATTTCAGCTTTCTATCTTTAATAGAAATTTTTTTTTTCCAAAATCTAAATCATAAGGTAGCTTCTCTTTAAAACGATGAAATTTCATTTTTTTTTTGAGATTTTGTATCCTAATGGTCCTTTGGCATCCCCCTAACTCCATACACTAAAATTATTCTGAGATTTGAAGCCAGATTCTATGAAAAAAGGCACTCAGAAAAATTGAAAAATTGATAAAGTACCCCAAATTACTTAACACGATTTTATTTCTGGAACAAGTCCAAATGAGCCGAAATTTTCAGCGATTGCAGTCCTTTACTAGGACAAGAATTGCTAAGAATTTCAGCTTTCTATCTTTGATAGAAAAAAACGAGGGGTTGTTAACTCCTTACAATATGTACACAGATTTTAAATCTTCATTTTTGTAGGAATTTTAGGAATTTGAAAATCTTCACAGGTTTTAAAAGATTTTAGATTTATAAGATTCTAGGTGATTTTCTCGGTGATTTTGGAGCATTTTAGGGAATGTAGAAGGGTTTTTAGAGATTCTGTAGAATTCTTAGAGATTTCAACAGATTTTTGGGGATTCCAAAGGATTTTTGGGAATTTTAAAGGATTTTTTTTTTAGGAATATTAACTTAAGTAATGATTTTATAAGATTTTGCTGGATTTTTTTTGTTCTAATAAAATTTTGTGAGATTTTGTTAGATTTTTAATGATCTTCAGAGCTTTTAGGTAGATCTTACAATTTTTTCTGGGATTTTGACCAACTTGTACACAGATTTTGACCAATTAGATGTTTAGTTACTTCCATAAAATGTGTACACATATTTTAAATCTTTATTGATTTTATAGGATTTTAAGGATTTTGGAAATTTTCACATGATTTTACAGGAGTTCAGAAAATCATAGATTTTTTGGATTTTAGGTAATTTTGGAGCGTTTCAGGGGCTTTTGAAAAGTTCTTATAGATTCTAAAGGATTCTTAGAGATTTCAATAGATTTTTGGGGATTCCAAAGGATTTTTGGGAATTTAAAAGGATTTTTTTTTAAGGAATGTTAATTATTTTATAAAATTTTGCGGGATTTTTTTAGTTTCAATAAAATTGTGTGAGATTTTGTAGGATTTTATGCGATTTCAAAAGATTTTGAGACATTTTGTTAAATTTTTAAGGATTTTGAAATTTTTTAGAGATTTGAAAAAGAGCTTCTGAGATTTTCTAGGATTATGACCAACTTGTACATGGATTTTGACCAGTTAACCGCCCCTCGGAAAAAAAGTTATGACCTTTCAAAGTTTTCCAAAATCTAAATTAAAGGTAGCTATGGAGGTAAGGTCCGTTTCACCAGGGTTCATACTTGACCTTGAAACTTGAAAAAGGGTTGTCGTAGATTAATTAATATGACACATTCAATTTTTTTGACAAATTGAAATGAATGACTTCTGGTTTAACAACCGACGAACGTTTTTGACGTCATTAATTTGTTTCAGTCAATTTTTATTTGTTGAACAAGGAAGGAAAATACTGGTGGCAAGTACAAACCCTGGTGAAACAAACTTTAGCTACCTTGTTTTTAAAAGGATGAAATTTCATTTTTTTTTTTTTTTTGAAATTTTGTATCCTAATAGTCCTTTGGGATCTCCCAAACTCCATACACTAAATTATTCTGAGATTTGGAGCCAGATTTTACGAAAAAATGCACTCAGAAAATATGAAAATTTGGGGTCTATAAACCTAGCAGTCCCAAGGTGGAAAAAAACTTCGGGAACTATATAATAATTGGGTGCTTTTTAGGTGCTAATTAGGGCCTCTAATTAAAAATTAGGTGCTCCTTTAGTTTTTGAGAAAATCAAAAAAACTAAGGGACTGTTAGGTTTATAAAAGCTTAGCAGTCCCCTATAGTAAAAAATATTTTTTCAAATTTTTTCTTTGTATCAGAATAAGGTGCTTTTTAGGTGCTCCTAAATAGTCAAAGAAAAAATAGAATTGATTAATTATTAAGTAACTGAGTTACAGATTTTTTTTTAATTATTAGGGGACTGCTGGCTTTACGTTTACTTGTTTGTGTGTCAGAATGGCAAAAAAACTTCGGGATCTATATAATAATTAGGGGCTTTTCAGGTGCTAATTAGGGCCTCTAATTGAAAATTAGGTGCTCCTCTAGTTTTTGAGAAAATCAAGAAAAACTAAGGAACTGCTAGATTTATGAATGCTAGCAGTCCCCTATAGTATTTTTTTTTGTATCAGAATTACGTGCTATTTAAGTACTCCTAAATAGTCGAAGAAAAACTTGAATCAGTTAATTATTAACTGAATTACAGATTTTTTAGGTAATTGTTGGTTTCACTTTTACTTGGTGATGTGTCAGAATAGAAAAAAAATTTCGGGGTCTATATAATAATAATAATTAGGTGCTTTTCAGGTGCTAATTAAAGCTACTAATTAAAAATTAGGTGCTCCTTTAGTTCTTGAGACAATCAAAAAAAAAACATAGGGACTGCTAGGTTAATGGAAACTAGCAGTCCCCTAAAGTAAAAAATATTTTTTCAAATTTTTCGTTTTTATCAGAATTAGGTGCTCCTAAATAGTCGAAAAAAAAATTGGAGCGATTGATTATTAACTGAGTTACAGATTTTATTTTCATTATTAGGGGACTCCTGGCTTCACGTTTACCAGTGGTGTGTCAGAATGGAAAAAAACTTCGCAATTTTTATAATAATCAGGTGCTTTTTAGGTGCTAATTAGGGCTTCTAATTAAAAATTAGATGCTCCTTTAGTTTTTGACAAAATCAAGAAAAACTAAGGGACTGTTAGGCTTATGAATGCTAGCAGTCCCCTATAGAAAAAAAAAATATTTTTTCAATAAGAGGCCCTAATTAGCACCTATAAAGCACTTAACTATTATATAGATCCCGAAGTTTTTTTCCATTCTGACACACCAAGTAAACGTAAAGCTAGCAGTCCCCTAATAATTAAAAAAAAAAATCTGTAACTCTGTAATAATCAATCAATCAATCCTATTTTTTCTTCGAC